GAAACCAGAACGTTTCGTTTGCTTCGTGTAGGTTTCCGTCTGATCCAGGCATTTGCCAACATTGCACTGATATAACCACATACAGACTATCCGGCTTGACGTTTTGGGGAATCCTCAGGGGGATCCCCGAATTTCATACACGATAAAATAGTTCTTTATGAACATAACATATCTAGTGCTGTTTCTTATAGCGGACTGTACACGTCGTTTTACGAGGGTGTTTCTTCTTATGGTTGTTTTAATATTATACAATGCCGATTTCTAAAAATGAGTGAGGAAAGAACAGTGATGTGTGGGTGGCATCTTAACTTCTTCTTAAGTGGCAATGTTGATATGTTTTCCTTGCAAAACATTTGAAGTTTTATCACTTTCCAATTAGATTTATTGCCACAGTTAATGTTTATGTTACGAAGAGTAGGTCTATTTTGGAAAATACAATAAATTTAAATGTAATGACGTCATTAAATACACAATCAATCACGGAATTCGTATAACATTCCAGAGTAGAGAGGGGAAAAATAGTTCTTCGAGAATCCATTCTAAATTCTCCGTCTCTAAGTCTTCAGGGTGGCCCTGGAGGCGTTGTCATGTGACCGTATCAGACTACTGGCACTGAGACGTGGAAGGCTGATTATGATTTTGTCCTAATTGTGGTTTATATTAGACGTACTTGGTGCAGCCGATATAGTGGCTAAATACTGTTCTGCGACCCATTTTAAAGTCGCCGTAGAAATCTTTCACCGAACTCAAGCCTCCCGACTCGCGTATCAGTGGCGAGAAATAACTTTTTTTTTTGTATCTGTGTGTGTAGCAGAGAAATTGGACCGGTGAGGTGGGTGTTATAGTTTGGAATATCACTTGTCTCGACTGGTCACGATTTTGACCGGGTCCTTAGCTTACAATTCTTTTGCTTTTGCGAGGAGGGGGGATTGGAATCGAGTGGGAGTCATGAGGTGTGTGTGATCCTCTGAATGAGGTCCTACGAGTAAAAGAGGGATACGTCATAATGTTTAGATTCTTGATTCTCCTTTTTTTTTCCCAGTAAATTTTAAGTCCATTTTTATTGTTAAATTTGTGGGCATTTTCTAAAAGTACCATTTTTCAAAATGTTTGCCCCCCCCCCCCCC